TGGAATGATCACCAAGATCATTTCAAAGGGAACTTTATGATGAGACATTCTCCATGAATTCCTGGTCAGATTCTAGAAAACTCATACTTTGCTGTAGAAGACAAACCTCCACGTCCATGCTTCCTCCGCCTTCTCTTCCGGGAAACAACGTTATTTTCCCATCAGGTTTGTTGGCAAAACCACTTCGAACTGCTAATGCTTTGCCAAGTCCAAATTCGCTCCCATAAATATTGAACCTGGGAGAACTTCCAATTTGGATCCTGTTGGAAAACCGGCCAATCCAAACTATAAAGGGCGATTTCACCCATGATTCAACCCATTCGCGTATACTTCTGTCCGTTTGATTGATCACCAGCTCGTGCAATTTCCAGGCCGCCCATCCGAGTCCATTTGTCAGCAATTCACCACAAGTAGTTGTTACTGCCACTACCTGTACACAGTTACCAAAATATTCCTCGGACAAGGGCGGATTTATCCTTAACCTGCTGTTTACAGACGTTCCAGCACTCGTCTGTTGATCAGATGGCATGTTTCGAGCCCTGGTGATACACCTCCAAAGGAGAGCTGACAGTGCCTGGAAGGTAGAAATATTGGTGGAGTTGCATTCAGCATTTGCTTTTGCTTTGAGTTTCGCCAATGACTCTGCTGAAAAGTGGAAATACCTTTCCAGCAACTCAGGGGTTTGAAATCTGCTGATGAATTCATCATGGTGAGCAAATGGAAGGCTGAAAACAGGGGATCTGTGTCCCTCAGGAAACCAACGTTTCAAAATAGGTGGTCTGGAGATGGTTGAAATTTGCCCCTTGGCATTGAACACCTCGGACCATGTGTTGATGAAATGCCAAAATGACGTCCCATCCACCAGCAAATGGTTGGTTGACCATCCAATGAAGATGCCATCCTTTAACTCTGTCACCTGAATGCTCATCAAAGACATGGAATGACCATCATGGTTGACTGCACCAACATGATCAAAGAATGAATATACAATTTTGGGCATATAGATAGGTGTGAGAATATCGTCAATGGTCAAGTCTACTGATGCGTGAACAAATTTAGCTCCGGGAAGATTCGTGCAATCAACATAGATGGAATAAATTGGAGGATTTTCCTGTTTTAGAGTCGCAAGGCGTCCAGCTAAGGGATAGAAATGAACCAGGGTAAGCGAAAGAGATTCTTTGAGCTTCTGCAAGTAGTCCTTCATTTTCCCCTCGCTATCAAAAGCCGGAGGCTTGGCAAAAAGGAGGCCTTTCTGGTTGTAGTGTAATGAGGCCAGACATAGATCCCATGGTGCCAAGTATATTCGTTGCTCTGAATCTTGTGGAATGTGTTTTGGTTGGACAAGACATTCAGAGACGTAATGAATAAAATGGTGAGAGTTCATTGTTGCGGCCATAGCTCAGATCTCGACTCTTTCACAGTTAATCCAAGAACCTATTCCCTTCTGGAGCTTTGGCAAGAATACTAATTACTTTAGCAGTTTCTACGCTGGTAGGCCTTGGCCCAGGAGTTAATAATAGAGTGCTGGGACACTATATCACATAAATGATAAGATACATCATATACCCATTCAGTGAGTGTTGGACCAGCCATCCTAGCTCCTTAGGGTGGACCGTTCCTTCGCCTTGGGTGTAGTGTGTAGAGACTAGTGGTAGGTCCATGGTGTCAAGTATCAGCTGGTCTGCATCTTTTGGATCGCATTTTAGTTGGATAAAACATTCAAAAACGAATTGAATTGAGGGATGAGAGGTCACCCTTACCGCTGTATATTAAGCCCAAGCCTTATCCCTCAAGTGGTGTCATCCCAAGAAATTCAATTCATATTTTTGACTTTGGATAAAATTTTATTCGCTTTATCTTCCCATATAGCCCCACAGTTTCAATAATTCTAGACCTTGACAGAAAGGGTTCGCCTTGGAGCTAGCAAGGATGTCAAATTGAAGTGCAAAAATATCTATTAGTAAGACATGCAATAAATGTAGATGTGTGCATATGTATGGATAATGTATCAGATATATTAACAAGTGTCTGTTAAATGCACGTCACACGAATTCTAAAACAACATTTGAATGTTTCACACGAATTGATATGCAAGATCAGATGCAGTAACCATTGGGCTAGAAAAGCATCTTCTTACAACAATCCTCCATGTTGACATTTTCTGATAAAGGTCCAAGAATTCATTGCGATGCATTAGCTATCCTATCCGTTGGAGTTGATGTTCATGAGTTCTTGGATACATGTACATGGCGAATGGAATGTGAGCTAGAACGTGTGTATTGGATCTTATTCAAATTGAAAGAAGGCATGTTTCTTTTGTTGCATTCATCTAAACATTCCCCGATGTGCTCTATTGCAAGCAAGGGCTGGATGTGAGGACAAATCGTTTTCAAGAGAGGAAGAATGATGTAAATCTGGTTGCTTACTTTTGCATTCCCAAGGGTGCCGAGCTAAGTGTTGAACCAAACCATTCAAGCGGACCTTTAAATATGCATAAGGCTTTAATTCAAGCTTTGGTCCATGTTATTCAAATACATAGAAGGTGTTGAACCTGCATGAAATGAACTTTATACACTTGTCCGAGCTAAGGAATCAAGCTTGAGAACCTGCCAATTAAGACCCTAATTCAAGTCATTGGTGTTGATAGATCTGCCGCAAAACTCTAGTTGGATGAGCTGCTCATGGATCACAAGAAGCGGATCAAAACTTGCTTGTTTTGTCTCAAGTCGTTTGTGCCATGTTTAAAGTTCTGTTTGATAAAACTGAATCTGAATTCTGAAGTCTGAAATCTGAAATCTGAATACTGAAACAATTAATTTGCTGAATTTTAAACACTAAAAAGAAATATATGAATGTCTGAATTTTAATGTTAAACCTATTTATACTGTTTGATAAACATTTTATAACTGAATGCTTAATAAGTTAAATTTGATAAATTTGCCCTTATATCTTTTCATCCAAAAAAGAAATAAAACCTATGATTTAATTAGCTAAAAATGTTAGGTATGAAAATGACAATATTTATTTTTAAATCAAATTAATATAAAAGATGAAATATATTATATCAGGAGTATGGAGAAGATGTGAAAATCATTCAAAAGGGAGAAAAAAGAAATAGAAAATCATTAGATAGAGAATATTAGATTGTTTAATTAGATAAGAATTTTGAACATAATTAACAAACAATGGTAGATTTGGTAGATAAGATAAGATAATTGAAGTAATTCTATTGATTTTTATCAGAATTAAGCATTCAGTTAGGATTTTTGTGTTGAAAAAAATACACACAAGCTCAGCACTACTTAACAAGTTCAAAATAATGTCTGAAAAAATTCAGATTCAGCACTTTTTTTATGTTATCAAACACCCTTATTTGGGCCAGTTCCTCAGTCGTTATTTAGTCTATTTTGTAGTTTGTTTCTTCAATAAATTCGGCCAGATATAAGTTTAATGGGTCGTGTGTCCATTAGTACAGTAGTTATTGGATAAGACCAGTGATTCCTTATCCACTTCGGATTAGTCTAAGTAGCTTAGTTTTGGCCATAAATAGCCATTCCTTTAATTGTAACAAGGAAGACGATTACTCTAGTAATAAAAATTGAGAGAATTCACTTGGCTTTTTGTAAGCGTTCTTTGAGTATTTTAGAGTTGTTCTAAGATATTCATTTAACTGATCAATAAAAAACACACTTGGTTGTAGGCCCTATCAACCTAATTGATCTTGTGCTGATGAATAGGGCCCTATTCATTGTGTTTGTCTCTGTTAACATGGCCATTTTTGTAGTTAATCTTTGCTATCCGAATTGATTCTTGACATCGTCTTGAAATTCTTGAATTGTCTTGGTTAAAGTCTTGAAGTTCTTGGAGCAATTCTAGAGTTTCATGGATTCTTGAACTTAAACTCATTGAATCTTGAAAACCCTAAATTGAATCTTGAATTCTTGTTCTTGATTTCATATTTCTTGTGGTTGTTTGATCCAAACAAATGAAATCTGTTTGCGTGTTGTTTTCCATCCGAGGCTATCTTGTTTGTTTCTTGCTTGAGTCTTGCACTTTCTTGGGGTTGTGTGGGCTGATCTTGATTGTTTCTTGAAGTCTTGAATCAAATTCTTGGTTTTCTTGAAGTTCTAGACTGAGAAATTATCAATCTTGGCAGTTCTTGATAATCCTAAGTTGGTTCTTGAAGATCTTGGATATTTTGACAGCAAACTCTAGTTGTTTGAAAAATTTCCTCGTAGTCTATTCGAATTCTTGAAAAAAATGTGCAACAACCTTGTTTGATCTTCAAATTATTCATACAAGGATGTTTGACAAGTTTTGGAAATAAAACGAGGAAAAATTTCCTCGTGACAGTATAAGAAACAGAAACAGGCGCTACTTTTAGTTTTCCAAGTTGGATTCGGATTATACCAAAATATTTTACTATTGTAAATTCTTGTCCAAAAGCTCATTGGATTGGGGAAAGGGGATTTCTAATTCTAATCCTTGTCCTTGTGGGAAAAAGGGTTATTCACATACTTTATTCCTGAAATTCTCCAGATTTGATTGATACAAAGGAATTCACAGCCACACCATTTCCCCGTAGAATTAGGATTTTCCTTCTTCTACTCGATTGAGTGTTCCTTTTAATATTGTTGAGTCTTCTTATTTTCCAGCAATCTTTTGAGTCTAAATTGAGTTATATTTTGTAGGTAATTCAGGCTTTTGCGTCGTGTTTCCTTAAATTTCTCAAATCCTAAATTGGCAACTTTCTTGTGGGTTCGATTGGTTAGTTTTTTTATTCACCTTGAGAAAATTCTAATTTCTTCAAGAAGATTGATTAAAAGTCTTGAGAACTTAATTGATAAGATTATTAGAGTGTAATACATTTGAGTGATATACAGGAGTTGAATGGATACACGTAAGGAAGTGCATGAGGTATTCTTTGTTCCACTAGCCATTGTTGCAGGTTGAAACAACAATGTCTATTGGAGGTGAAGGGAGTTCCTAGCTGAATGACTTTAATCTTATGATTTAGTCAATGAAGAAAGAATTTTTAGATGATGCTTTCAAGCCACTCCACCATCGGCCTGATCGAATGGCGAATAATAGTGCCAAAAGAAAGGGTACTACTCAACCTTATTCCAATTATCAATCTAATCATGAGAGGTTGCAGTATCCATGGAAGGAGGAGAAGTTTCAATCCATTTCTTCTAAACCTAAGCATAAGGATGAGTCATCTATGGCGGAGTCATGTGAGCGTATAGTGGAGACCTTTCTAGCACCATACATTGATCAACATAGACGAATGAAGGTTTCAAAGAGCTGCCATCAAGATGAAATTCCTATGGAGAAATCTGTTGAGTTCATTGTTCATAAAGGAGAATCTTATTTTGTACCACTATTGGTTAAGAAGGTTGATGTGGAAGAGAATCCAAACATCAAGCATGATGGGAAAGTACTTGAAGTTCAGTCTACATTAGCTAGTAATCAAGGGCTAGTTGGAGAGAAGAGTGGGATTCGAGATAGCAGTGTGATCCATGAGGTAAAATTTGAGGGTAAGAAAGAGGTAAAACTCGAGGAAAGCGTGAAAGAAAAAAGGAGCGAAGATTCAAGTGAGTCGAGTGAGATACATGAGAAAGAAAGTAAGTTGAATTTGTGTGTTAAAACAAGTGGGTGTGAGTTAACTTTGAGAGTTGAGCAAAGAGTGTTTGTTCTTATGACTAACCATCCTTATTTTGTTTTGCCAAGTATATTTGTTGATTTTGGGCAAGTGAGTAGATTACTTGACATGCTGAATTGTGGAGTTGTGCATCCATGCTGTCCATTTATAGAGAGTTGCAACACATTTGCTATCCTACCTACTCAAGGTATTAGAGTTTTCTATGGAGAAAACTTGCTGCTGCATCATTTCCATTCATTATATTGTCTTTATCTAATTTTGATGGGACGTTAATTCTGATTATCTTGTTTTGATTGTAGGCTTGGAAGTTATGTCCATTGAAAGATGTTCGATAATTAAAGGACTAGCGAACGTAATGCAAAGTGGATTTAGTTTCGTGATGTGACATGATTTGAATGCAAATGGTATATTTACTTGACATAAGATACTTTCGATAAAAAAGTACCTTTAGGTATTAAAAGAATTTTTAAATTATTTGATGAATATCATCCTATAAAATTAAGAGAAGAGTTTTTGATGTTAAAAGTACTTTTAGCAAAAGTTCAAATTTCGTACTTTACGATAACTTTTTGTGATTTAAAAAATAAAATATTAAATTTAATCATTTTATCCGGTATTATGAACTAAATAAAGAAATAAATATATTTAAAATTTTTTAAATTACTCATTATCCAATACAATATGTACTTACTGAACTATTTCTCCAAACAATATATTTAAAAGTATTTAAACACTTAATAAATACTATTTTTAAAAACTCTATTAAGGAAGTATTGTTCAATGAGTTACAACAACCCCGTGTATTCTGGATTTTAATGATAGGCATTTGACAACATGCCCGCAATTTCACACACTTGATGTTTATGGCCTATTCGGATTGAAGATCATTTGACAAAACAAAAAATTATTTAAGATGCATCATGATGAAATTTCAATAAATCATGATGGAATTCTAAGATAAGCACAACTTCATCCATAGAATCTAACTTTTAGCTAGTTTGCACCCTGAGAGAAAATTATGAGCACAATTTATTCCAACGTCTTCTATAAATAACTTGCCAATATCTCATGATGAATTCTAAGGTAAACACAACTTCGTCTGTCTAATCCAATGAAGCCTTTAGCTAGTCTGGACAAAGAGAGGTAATTATAAGTACAACTCATTCTGTAGTTTCCAAGTTAGCTAAGTATCCTTCCTCGTAAGGTTTAAAGCCTCTCATCTGACCCCCAAAAAAAAAAAAAATCTGCCACTTGACTTTTAGCAGAGACCAAAACCGTACGCTTGTGCATGAATTAGAATTTGACAAGTGTACTGATAAAAATCTAGTATCCACATATGTTCGCACCATATCCAATCATAAGCTTTGCTCCTTAGCCACTGCTGAGTGCAAAACACAAATTAAGCAGCAAAAGAAAAATGGAGGGGTCTAAATTTGCTCCTACCTATTTTAATTCAACACTAATATAACATAAATAACCGAGTATATCGTGCATTAGCTTTTAATATTTTAATTCCTATTTTGTCTTTTAATACTTAAACTCAATTTTCCATGGTAGAAACATTCGTTTAAATTTCTCCTCCATTAAACATCTTCCATGATGGAACTATTCGTTTTCCGTGATAAAATTATCACTGTAGGGCATAGTAGAGAAAAATCATTTGTTTGGACTTTCAAGTACTTTAAGCATACATTTTCTTGAAATTAGGAGGTAAGGCTTTACGTTTCGTCGTTTCCCTCCAGCATGTTTTCATTTTCAAGTTATATAATAGAATGATTTTTTTTTTTTTTGAAAATTAATACACACACACACACACACACACACATATATATATATATATATATATATATATATATATATATATATATATATTAATTTATTTATTTGTGCTCTACAAAACAAAATTACCAACTCCAATTTACACCCTCAATGTTTTGCCTCAATTCTAATCTTGCACCCTCAATTTTTTTTTTGTACACTTGGTACCCTAAAGTGACATCTTTCGCCACGTTTTACTAAAAACTTTTTTCTTGTATGTATTCCAGTATTCCACCTTAAAATTATCTATTTGCTGAAATTACTATACTCCAACTGACTTTCAAAGCATGTAAACAATGTGTGATAAGCTACGTCCTTTTTTTTCTGAAAGTATTGAAGTTTGGCATCATTCTTTAAATATTAAAAAAAAAAAACAGTCGAAAAAGGGGATGAGTGATCCTTCCCACCCACCCCCCCCCCCACCACAAAAATACAGAAAAACACCAACCACCACATTTTGTTAACTTTAGAGTGAAGGAGATCCTATATAGTAAAAGGTGAGGGTGTAGTGTAGATCTAGTCTTTCATAACAAAATGCTTATTCCAATGTTCAGAACTGAGAAATGTGATGATTGAAATGCAGATACTGTTTTATGGGTAATGGTAATTGCATTGAAATAAGTAGACTTTATTTGACCTGACGTATCCCTTGGAGTTTACTACTATGTCTTCTCATAGATAATACATTTCTTGCCGCAATTCTGGTCTGATGCTGGTACTTGATACTTTATACAGTCACACGATGTTAAATGAAGATCCTGGCAGTTTTTAGAGCAATTGCAAGGTAAGGTAAATAATCAAATGCAGTAAAATGTTGGTTTAATAGAAATACAACATGTCTCTAGTCAAACAAAAAATGAAAGTACAACCTCATATTTTACAAATATGTCACCAATTCCAAACCTCACACATACTAGTTTCAATGTTTGTGGCCCTTTTTTTTTTGTTCTAACTTGTAATCTTCTATTTTTTAAGACAGGATTCTGTCCAATTCTGTCAAATTCCAAAACCTCACACATGCTAGTTTCAGTGTTTGCAGCTCTTTTTTTTTTTTTTTTTTTCTTGTTCTATCCTGTAATCTTCTATCCTTTTAAGACAGGAGGAAGAGGGAGGGTGAGGAGAGAGGTGCAAGGAGGGGGAAAGAGGTGGTTGTAGTGCGTTGTAGTGGATGATGGTTTTCAATTTTTAAAAATTATTCTAAAAAATTAAATTTTAAAAATATCTCAAAATATATTCTCAAAAACTCAAAAAAAAAAAATCTAACTATTTACAGTAAAAAATTTTTACATACATTATTACAGTAAAATTTTTCAAAAACACCCAAAAAAAGGTACCTAATCTATTGTATGTGATTGTTTTGGGAATTTAGGAACTTTATCTAAGCATGATGTTCAGAAGGGTAAAATTTACACCTCTCTGCCCATTGATGTAGATCTATCAATAAAACAATGCAATTTTATCTATGAATATTATTATTTTGCTTCCCGCTTTTTCTCTTTTTTTTTTTTTTAATCTAACGGGTTTTTTTTAATCTATGAAAAGACTCCAAACCCTACAAAGGATACGCGGGAAGATAAGCATTTTGGAGTTGAAACAAGAATCTCCTAGTTACCTTACTGATGTTTTCATCAACTAAGTTATCTTGCTAATGTAGGGGGGGATAGGTTGGGTGGTATAGAGGGAGGAAGTGTAAGTGAAAGGTCTCAGGTTTGAGACCTCCCACCTACACCCGAAAAAAAAAAATTATCTTGCTAGTGTCTCTATCAACTAAGTCTCAGGAACTTAGTAAATACTTGTATCATGGTCGTAATACACACTCAAACGTATGACTTAAAAAAATTTTGTATTTTGTACGTTTCAAAAATGTTACAAAAAATACTTATATTTTTCAACTAAATGTATAAAATATGTAATAGACTATTGGCATATTATACATCATGAATCATATTTTAATTTTTGAAAATTTCTAAAGTTTGAGTAAAATTAATAACATACCTTTCAAGATATATACAAATTAGTAACAACATATGCAATGGTTTCCATAGATTCATACCAAAAAAAAAAAATAATTAGTTAACAAGATTTTAATAAATTTAACATCGCATAAGTAGGATGAGAATTAAAAATGATATGAATATAGTAACATCTTCAAAAATTATAGTAACTTTACATGTGTTTTTGGTTTCATAACTTTCAAATATATTTGTATCACTTACATATGAATTTATATGTGTAATTTTCTATATTTGTTTGACTTTTTGCACTGAATTTTTAATATTTTTTTAAAAAATTCATATAATATATATGTGTATAATATATCCTATTATAACTGTCCCGTGTTTTAGTAACTGTGTTGTCAAATAACTTCTGTCAAGTAACTTAAGATCGAATAGTAACAAACACTAACATGTTATTGCTACTAAAACGCTGAATAAAAAATTTGGCCACCAATTTATGAAACAAAACATTATTGTAGAAGATAAAGTGCAATATGCCTCCACTACAAGCACAAACTGGCATAAACAAACCCAAATTAGAGTCAATAACACACCCACATTTTTTTCCCCTTAACTGCATTCCATTTTGCAGTCTTTAAAATTCAGACTAAAAATATCTGAATGTGAACATCAGAATTCATAGTGCTGCCGTTCCATGTCTCCTAGAGGGATGGTGAGCCCATTTCTTGATCTTATGGAATGATTACCAGGATCATTTCAAAGGGGACTTTATAACGAGACATTCTCCATGAATTCCTGGTCAGATTCAAGAAAACTCATACTTTGTGGTGGAAGACAAACCTCCACATCCATGCTTCCTCCACCTTCTCTTCCAGGAAACAACGTTATTTTCCCATCTGGTTTGTTGGCAAAACCACTTCGAACTGCTAATGCTTTGCCAAGTCCAAATTCACTCCCATAAACATTGAACCTGGGAGAACTTCCAATTTGGATCCTGTTGGAAAACCGGCCAATCCAAACTATAAAGGGCGATTTCACCCATGATTCAACCCATTCGCGTATACTTCTGTCCGTTTGATTGATCACCAGCTCGTGCAATTTCCAGGCGGCCCATCCTAGTCCATTTGTCAGCAATTCACCACAAGTAGTTGTTACTGCCACTACCTGCACACAGTTACCCAAATATTCCTCGGACAAGGGTGGATTTATCCTTAACCTGCTGTTTACAGACGTTCCAGCACTCGTCTGTTGATCAGATGGCATGTTTCGAGCCCTGGTGATACACCTCCAAAGGAGAGCTGACAGTGCCTGGAAGGTAGAAATAGTGGTGGAGTTGCATTCAGCATTTGCTTTTGCTTTGAGTTTCGCCAATGACTCTGCTGAAAAGTGGAAATACCTTTCCAGCAACTCAGGGGTTTGAAATCTGCTGATGAATTCATCATGGTGAGCAAATGGAAGGCTGAAAACAGGGGATCTGTGTCCCTCAGGAAACCAACGTTTCAAAATAGGTGGTCTGGAGATGGTTGAAATTTGCCCCTTGGCATTGAACACCTCGGACCATGTGTTGATGAAATGCCAAAATGACGTCCCATCCACCAGCAAATGGTTGGTTGACCATCCAATGAAGATGCCATCCTTTAACTCTGTCACCTGAATGCTCATCAAAGACATGGAATGACCATCATGGTTGACTGCACCAACATGATCAAAGAATGAATATACAATTTTGGGCATATAGATAGGTGTGAGAATATCGTCAATGGTCAAGTCTACTGATGCGTGAACAAATTTAGCTCCGGGAAGATTCGTGCAATCAACATAGATGGAATAAATTGGAGGATTTTCCTGTTTTAGAGTCGCAAGGCGTCCAGCTAAGGGATAGAAATGAACCAGGGTAAGCGAAAGAGATTCTTTGAGCTTCTGCAAGTAGTCCTTCATTTTCCCCTCGCTATCAAAAGCCGGAGGCTTGGCAAAAAGGAGGCCTTTCTGGTTGTAGTGTAATGAGGCCAGACATAGATCCCATGGTGCCAAGTATATTCGTTGCTCTGAATCTTGTGGAATGTGTTTTGGTTGGACAAGACATTCAGAGACGTAATGAATAAAATGGTGAGAGTTCATTGTTGCGGCCATAGCTCAGATCTCGACTCTTTCACAGTTAATCCAAGAACCTATTCCCTTCTGGAGCTTTGGCAAGAATACTAATTACTTTAGCAGTTTCTACGCTGGTAGGCCTTGGCCCAGGAGTTAATAATAGAGTGCTGGGACACTATATCACATAAATGATAAGATACATCATATACCCATTCAGTGAGTGTTGGACCAGCCATCCTAGCTCCTTAGGGTGGACCGTTCCTTCGCCTTGGGTGTAGTGTGTAGAGACTAGTGGTAGGTCCATGGTGTCAAGTATCAGCTGGTCTGCATCTTTTGGATCGCATTTTAGTTGGATAAAACATTCAAAAACGAATTGAATTGAGGGATGAGAGGTCACCCTTACCGCTGTATTGGCATTGAACACCTCGGACCATGTGTTGATGAAATGCCAAAATGACGTCCCATCCACCAGCAAATGGTTGGTTGACCATCCAATGAAGATGCCATCCTTTAACTCTGTCACCTGAATGCTCATCAAAGACATGGAATGACCATCATGGTTGACTGCACCAACATGATCAAAGAATGAATATACAATTTTGGGCATATAGATAGGTGTGAGAATATCGTCAATGGTCAAGTCTACTGATGCGTGAACAAATTTAGCTCCGGGAAGATTCGTGCAATCAACATAGATGGAATAAATTGGAGGATTTTCCTGTTTTAGAGTCGCAAGGCGTCCAGCTAAGGGATAGAAATGAACCAAGGTAAGCGAAAGAGATTCTATGAGCTTCTGCAAGAAGTCCTTCATTTTCCCCTCACTATCAAAAGCCGGAGGCTTGGCAAAAAGGAGGCCTTTTTGGTTGTAGTGTATTGAGGCCAGTGACAGATCCCATGGTGCAAAGTATATTCGCTGCTCTGAATCTTGTGGAATGTGTTTTGGTTGGACAAGACATTCAGAGACGTAATGAATAAAGGGATGAGACGTAATGTATTTTGCGGCCATAGTTCAGATCTCAACTCTTTCACAGTTTAAATCCAAGAACCTATTCCCTTCTGGAACTTTGGCAAGAATACTACAATTACTCATAGCAATTTCTACGCTGGTAGACCTTGGCCCAGGATCTAATAATAGAGTGCTGGGACACTATATCACATAAATAATAAGATACATCATATACCCATTCAGTGAACCAACGCGCTTTGGCGGCCACCAAAAAAGGGAAAGGGATTAAGTCCCTTTTTGACTATAGGTTGAAGGTTCGAATTCTACTTACAGTGAATGGACCGTCCATTCTAACCTAATTAATACAGGCCAAAGAAAGTATATAAAAATAATTTTGGGGTTAATTCCAATAAACCCCTTCAAAAAATACCTCTTTCTCACATATATCCGTGAATGTCTAGTTGAATCAATTCACTCCTTGTACTATTACAAATTTCTCAATCACGTATAATTGGGTTAGACAGTTTAATTTTGTACTGAATTTGGGCATGTTAACGCACATGGATTGCTAACTGACCAAACTACCCTTTCCTACTATATAAATTTCATATTTTTGGTCCTATAAAGGGCCAAAGGACTTTTACATGCTATATAAATTTTTGCAATAAAGTTTTAACCAAACTTTTGAACTAATAAAACTAAATCAAGAAGAACTGTGAACGTTAAATTTATTATAAAAACTTTTCCACTCACAAAAATATGAATTACAATATCCTTAAAATCATGCTTTTCAATATATTTTTTGTCATTGTAACAAAGATACCGAAAATATGTAGCCATAAGATAATATATAGAAAGATAAACTTCAATTATGATTAACTAAAAGCCGCACAAAATTAAAATTTTTAGCAATAGGAGGATAACTAAATAATTTAAGAAAATTTTTCATCAACAGCGGCTAGTCTAAAAAAATTAGCAATTAAGGACTAAAGAGAAATTTAGTCAATTCATGAAATCATGTGCATTGCATATGCTAAATTCAATCCGAAATTGGGTTGCCGTTCCCAATTGTAACCTGATTGGGAAAATTATAGTACTAAGGAGGTGGATTGGTTCATTTATACATTCAGAGAAACAATGTGAGGAAGACGTATTGTTTGAAGGGGTTTATTGGAATGACCCCAAAGTTTTAAATCAAACAGGAGGGAGAGCAATTAATCTAAGCTTGCTAGTATAGCATATATCTGATTTAATATTTGATACGTGGATCGCAATCCAAAAAAAAAAAAAAAAAAAAAAATTGATCTGCATCGAGTTGCCCGTTTTGAGAAATGATTTGACCCATTCCCGAAAATGGGTCTCACGTCTTTTAAGGCCCCATAGCATAAGGAGAAAGGGCTCAAGGATTCTTGCTATGGCTCAAGAAGTCCTTATGCTACAAGTGAAAGTTCTTTATTTTTCTCTAGCACTTCTAGAACACTATTGATACCAGAGTCCTGCTTAACAAAAAACGTCCTCCTCCAAGTGAAGTCCTCTGCTTTTTCATAATGACTAAGATAAAGTATAGTTACCTAATCCAAACGTAATAACAAAGATATAATTTAGCTATCTAATCTAAACTAACTGGCGAAGTTGTAAGTGATTTAAATAACCTGCTCTTCAGACATTCAATCCACAAGGACTATTATATGTGAAAACACAAACAGGACATTCATCCACATTTTATCAAGAAAGAACCTGCAATTTCACGAAATCTTTCAGTGTATCGAGGCACCAAGCAACAAAAAGAAAATATATATACACCCGAAGATTTTTCCAGCTTTTACAAGCGGCAAACAGGCAGCAAAATTTGAAAACTAAATGCACTTATTTTCAGGTTTTATTCCAAAAGTTGATTTCCTATGACCATATGCACGATTATGTCCAAGTTTGTGCCAAATTCAGTTATTTTTAGATTTTATTCCAAAACTTGAGTTCCTATAATTATATGTATGATTATGTCCAAATTTGTTCATAAGGATTGTATGATTATTCTGGTTAAGCAATTGGCTAGGACAAAGAATAATACCCTAATAAACACTACTAACATGCAAAGAAGAATCCTGCTAGAATTTAAACCCAAAAAAAAAATCAAAATAAAAATGATGAACAAGATTACTTAATTTTTAAAAATTATGAAATAGTGTATTCTCTTGGATGGATTTTGAAATTTAGATAACAGCAGATGCCTGTATACAAAATTATCTGGTATTATTGTGAGATCCCCCTAAATGCAGGTTCCTAGAGAAACAGGCAAGTTTGACTGAAAAGTGATACTGTTTCAGTGAGAACATGGTCAAACTTTGCTGCACTTTTTCTGTTGACCAGCCTAAAAATAAGCGGTGTGAGACGTTTATGGACTAACTGGAAGGGTCTATTTGTTATGACTCTATGACTTTCAGGGATTGTTTTGTTATTTTGCCAAATCATAGGGACAATCTCATAGTTTGGTCAAACCTCAAGGGATGTAAATGTAATTAACAGTTAATTCTATCTTAGACAGATGAAGCCGAAGCACAAGAATTGCAACCAGTCAGCAGTTCCAGCAGTCAATAGTTATCAATTTAAATTCTCATTTATTTAGTCCAATAATTCCCATTAACTCTTTTTGCGCATGGAGGCTCCACAATAAATGAATGCTAAAAACTCATATAACAAAGCTGGTGCTCACATGACCACAAGCCTCTGTTGTATTGAATGAAGGACTTTAAAGTCTTTCAATACCAAACACTGCAGCCACCTGTTGTACAATTGGTTGTACTAATAGTGCTACAAAATATTAGAAGACCAACTTGCCCATAATGAGGCAGATGAAATTTACGAAGTCAATTCTTTACTCGATCGAGTGAAATGTTCACATTCTTGTATGAGCTATCACTGAAACTTGGGTGCTAATAACATTTTAATTGTCCATCAAATTGACTTGTTAAGGTGCCTTTCCTTTTTTTCATTTCAAGTTAATTGGAATGGGGAACAAAGAAAATATCCAATTAAATGGCCATGAAATAAAGAAAGAGCAAGTTAGAACAGCTTACATCTACTTCAGGGTGTAAAGTAAGTTCAGCATAAACTTCATCTGTCCCTTGTTCTTCCTACAGAGCAGGCCAAAACAGTGCACCTAGTGATAAATGCAAAGTAAAGCACTTCAGAACAAAGAATGAATATATACCAGAAGCATAACAGGATCCATTTTAGTAGAAAATCTCAGAAGACAAATCAAACAATTGTCTCCAACAGAAGAAAACAACAGGGAAAATGTACTCGAACCGAACAGAAGTTAATACTAAAGCAACTCAGCAATTTCTATCGTGCAAGGAAAAGGGATTAGAGATCAAGTTTTACATAGTCCAGGTGGCCCTGTGAAAGTAGAAATCTCTTTCCGCCTCACAAGGAACATCAACAAGGGCTGCTGCACAAGCCCTTCCATACCTCATTCTAGCTCATTGTTTATATATATATATATATCATCTGCTAGGTGTAGCCAAAATATGCTTACAAAAAGTGCCTAAAGCAAAGCACCTACCCAGCTTGACTGCTCAGAAAATAGCCAAGCAGGGAGCCTTAAAGGGAAAGAAAAAAAATGTGATCTCCTGTTCTTTTGTTCCTCCACTCCCAGACCCCCACCCGACCCCCCCCCTCCCTCCTCCCTCCTACTAAAGCAAAGGCAAGTGAATAGCGGTATAGATATTATAACAAAAGGTTTTACTTCTTAGCCTTTCCCTCATTCCTCATATTTTGACTGAGCAACTTCAAAGGTTCACAAAATTGGACTAGTTAAAATTATAATAATAAAAAAATACAATAAAAACTCAAGACGATATTAACTTTGAACAGCAGATTTATACTGCCAAACTCTGCCATCTGGAATAACTTGTAACCAGCAAACCAAGCCATTTCCAGATAATGTACCAAGCAAGTTATATATGTGCCTCAATATTCAGCACAAAAACCAAAACCCCATCAAAGCTTCCCATTTCCACGAGAAGATACAAAAGTGAATTAGTAAACCCCAAACGTAAAATTAAAAAGAAAAACAGCTTACTCATTTTGAACAAAAGTACTTAGGTAATGAGAAGATTAACTAAGAAATGGGGACAAACATTGAGCTACACATGAAAACCTTAGGAATTTCTTGGCAATTGCATGAGTCAAAGACTATTATAATCTCTTGGATAAACTCTCGAAGCCAGAGATTGAGAAATACTGAACTGGACCTTTGAGTATGAGCAGGAACTTAACAGCGGTACAAAGGAAAATGAGAATGACCAATGGGTCTTTGAGAGGAGTTAATGGGGCATATGATTTTTTGTCTGCTAATCTGATGAGTTTAGACACCAAGAATAAGGACAAAAGGGAGCTAAGGTGTAGAGACGACTCTTCCAAAAAGTGCAAAAATTTGCAAAAGAGGAGAATCAAGCTTGTACAATATCTAAAATGAAATACAACTACAGAATTGGAATCTCAAATTATCTAGTTCAGGAAGCAGAAAAGGTCACACAGATGCAAAGCATCATAAAAGGAAAAGAACAAGTAAATGCTTTACCTGAATGACCACAAGGACTTTATGCAGATAATAGCTACCATTCTCACTTGTTGTATACTAGGTTAATATTCAGTGAAATCACTGGAAGTTTGCAGACATTTATTTATGCATTACATACAGGCATAACAGCAAGAACTAGTATTTGATTTCATGATTTTTTTACAACTTAGTAGACCTCCACAGAACTTTCAGTGCAGTCATTGCAGTCAGCTACGTTCCTTGTCTTTGCATTCTATCTCATCATATCACATTCTGCGAGATTTGAAAATCACCATTAATACCTCGGTGTATGTCCGGGATAATCCTTTGTTCCATAGCCCTGGGGCTATTTACAACTACACAATTAAGAATTCGCATATGTACTAGTACTAGCACTGCATCAAAGATGCAGTCATCGATTCTCCCGAGAGGTCACAATTGCTGTGAGATATAAAAAGGCTTTTTTGTTCTGCTACTAGTACTTGCTCTGCTATTCTGCCCAAGCCAAGCAGCCGCCACCCCCTCCCTGCACAAAAGAAAAAAAAATGATAAGAGAGCCACCTCTTCCAATGATGTTCTTGTAGATCTGTGAAAGAAAATATTTGGAATTTTGAAGTGGTTGTCCCCCTTTTGAAACTATGATCCTCCATCTACACCTTTCCGTTCATCCCTTTTGCAACCAATCCTAATGTGATGCTGATGTCTTTTTTCTCCCCCCCCCCCCCCCCCCACACACACACCCACCCACACACACACACCAAAACAAACTAAAAAAAACCCAGTTCACCATGAAATCTCAATTCAAGAAGCTCCTGAACATTACTACTACCATTGTTTTAGTATTACTGATATTACCACTGCTGCTACTATTATTATTGTCACTTGCAATTATTTACTACACAAAAATGTGTTCAACATGTATGATATGCAGACAGCAGAATCCCAACTCAATCTTAAGAGGTAAGATACAGAAAGTTCTGCTGAGCCTGTGCTGACATCAAACTGAAATGTTAGTGCACCCAACAAAACTTATCCTAAAGGCATCTTCAAGGTTGGTTCCAGTTCTGAAAATTATTTATTATTACAAATATGGTTAAGCTTTCAAAGTAGCGGTAGTGCTAAGTCATCGTAAACAAAAGGAAAAAATCTACATGCATTTTTGAGTAACCATGATCATTTCAAGATTGTTTCACTAAACAAATCACTTCAAGCAATAACTCTACTATGTGCTACTAAAGTAAAAATACTGTAATCAAAAACTCTAAGCTGGACTGGACAATCAAATAGAAGGCTACCATTACAACACATCCAATCTATAAATGTCGTAAACCAATCTGCAAATGTAGTAAACCAAAATTAAGATGGAAATTTATTTCTCTTTCCAGATGGGTTTTAAACAAAAGAGGAATCATATCTGAGCTGCATCCAAGCCAACAACCGCTAGAGAATCAGCAGTAGCAGCAGAAGAGTCACCACCCATTCATCCGAAAACTCCCAGCAGAAAGAAAGCACAGAGCAGCAGCACAAATAAAGAGAGGGAGACAGATAGAAAAATAAAATAAAATTGCCCCTCTCTGCAGTTTCAGTTTAAAAAATAAGCAAAGAAAAACAAAGAAAAAGAAAGAAACTGAATAAGTAACAGTGAGCAAAGGATATTGACATGCTAAGCATCAGTTTCCTGTAAGATTCTTCCAATGGTTTCATCCCAGTACACCAAATAATCTTCGAATCATTACTGTTGTGACTGCACAAGTGTTCAATGGAAAGTGGGAAGGCATACATAGCATATTGGTTGTTTGCTTTTGGTCTGCTAAAACCACTTAAAAAGATATAAGAACAGTAGTAAAAATAATGTCAAACCAACACGATTCTTGAGAGAATTTACATCTAAGGACAAGTATCAAAAGGCATCAAACTAAACCAACAAACGTCAACCACAATACAGGATCTAAAATGTAGAATTTGTTGGACAGTGTAATTAAAAAAATAGGAAAAATAGTATTGCACTGATAACAGATTAATAGAACAGGATGTAAATGAACCATACTCGGTCATCTTAATATAGGGGGTCTCATTATAAACAGAGATTAAACCCAAAGCAAAATTGTGCAAATGTAATACTGTGTGCCGAAAAAAAAAAGGAAAAAAGAAAGGATAGCAGCGTATCAGGATCACTTGCAAAAGGAATGAACAGAACAGCATAGATGGCGGATTATAGTTCAAAATGGAGAAAACCACTTCCAAAAAATATTAAGAAATCTCAACTCAAGAAGCTCCCAAATATTACTACTACTATTGTTTTAGTATTACTAGTATTACCACTGCTGCTACCATATTATTGTTACTTGCACTTATTTGTTGCGCGGAAACGCGTTCACGTATGATACACAGATGGCAGTACCCCAACTGAATCTCAGAGGTAAGATGCAGAAAGTTCTGCTAAGACTGTGCTGACATCAAACTGAAATGCAAGTGCACCCAACAAAACTTATCCTAAAGGCATCTTCAAGGTTGGTTCCAGTTCTGAAAATTATTTATGATTACAAATATAGTTAAGCTTTCAAAGTAGCGGTAGTGCTAAATCATCATAAACAAAAGGAAAAAATCTACATGCAGTTTTGAGTAACCATGATCTTTTCAAGATTGTTTCACTAAACAAATCACTTCAATCAGTAACACAGTTGCATGCTACTAAAGTAAAAATACTGTAATCCAAGAACTCTAAGTAGAATTGGACAATCAAATAGAAGACTACCATTACATCACATCCAATTTACGAATGTAGTAAACCAAAATTAAGATGAAAATTTGCTTCACTTTCCAGATGGAACTTTTGAACAAAGAAGGGGGAATAGTATCTTACCTGCATCCAAGACAACAGCTGCTACACAATCAGCAGTAGCAGCAGCAGAGTCACCTCCCATTGATCCAAAAACTCCAAGCAGAATGAAAGCTCAGAGCAGCAGCACAAAAAGAGGGAGACAGACAGAAAGGCAATAAACTTGTCCCTCTCTACAGTTTCAGTTTAAAAAATAAATAAAGCAAAACAAAGAGAAAAACTGAAAAAGTGACAGCAAGCAAAGGATATTGCCATGCCAAGCATAAGTTTCCATAAGATTCTTTCAACTCTTACATCCCTTTACACCAAATAACCATTGTACCATTACTTTTGTGACCAGTTCAAACAGAAAATGGGAAGGCATACATAGCATATTTGATCGTTTGATTTTGGTCCACTGAAAGTACTTAATCAGATATAAGAACAGTGGTAAGAATAATGTTAAACCAACACTATTCTCCAGTATTCTGGAGAGAATTTACATCTAAGGCACAAATATCAAAAGGTGTAAAACTAAACCAAAAAACGTCAACCACAATATAGGATCTAAAATGTAGAATTTGTATGGGCAATTAATTAAAAATAGGAAAAATAGCACTGTACTGATAACAGACTAATAAAACAGAATATAAATGAATCATGATCAGTTCATCTTTATATAGGAGGAGGTCTCATTATAAACAGAGATTAACCCCCAAACAAAAATGTGAAAAAGAAAAAGGAAGAAGGAAAGGGAGCAATGATATAGATATCAAACAAAACATGCAGAAACAAATGTTACTACAACCTCAAAGCAGCAATTGCTTCAGGTTTAAAGTCTATCCTCAGACCCAATACTCTTCTGACCTCAGCCGGTGTTAGTCTCCAGGTCATGGGTCCAGAGTTTTCACCCCAGAAATCTAGGATCTCGGAGACCTTTTCCAGATTCAAGATGGTAGCCATCTGAGTTAGGCGAGCAAATTTGTCTCTGACAGTCCTTTGGGTCATGCTAGAGAAATGGCTGACTAGGGCCCTAGCATCTCGGTCAAGTTGAAGTCCTCCTAGCTGACTGAATCTCTTTTGCATCATGATCACTTCAAGTCTTTTCACAATGAAATCGATAATAAGATGTACAAACATGTCATAATTGTTGGTAGTCATTAAGGGTTGAAGCCACGCTACATTGGCCTCAACGGCATGAAGAAGCCGTTGAACCCAAGGGTCATTCACCTCATTATCAGCATATTCAGCCTCAGATAGCTCATAGCTGATTGTTGCCACGTTATCTAATACAGGCCGAACTCTTGGCGCAACTGTTGCTACAAGTTGCTCCATTCCCATATTCAACGCCTTCTTGAAAGTGTTGCTCATCTCATTCAATTCAGATAAGCAGGACTTAACTCTCTCTCTATCGGCTGGAGCGGGAAATACCTAATCAAAAAAATGGTTGAATAAGAATAACATTGGGAAATGATCTTCAAGAGTAAAATCCATTGGAAAGCACACAAATTCAATGTGATTTCCAAATGAAGAAATAAGACATCTATAGTGAAGTAATCTAATGTAGTACCAACCCATCCCGAAATCACGTAGAAGCACAAGGAAATTTTAGACGAGAAGCAGAAGTAGAAAGCATATTTTGTCATTAAGAGGGAAAATCACATTAAAATGAACTGCATCAAGAAATAATCTTATCTACAGAAAATATTCAACTGTTACAAAATCTTGTCAGAACTGCAAATCAAACAGAACGAAGTACCCAAAAGATCACCAAAGGGCTAATATCTTTTTCCATCGTCAATTATAGACAAGACTCTGGATGTGATTCAAACAATAGAAAGGAAGACTTAGCCCAACTACCAAGTGTTCTTAAGTTCAGGAATCTTTTTTAACTTTTTATGTGACATCATTGTAAACTGACAGCCCCATTGAAATGCATAATAAGGGACTAGAGCTTTTTCTCTTAAAAGAAATGCAAGACAAATAAGATTTTCCTTTTAACTGCTGAATTGAAAGGAAATAGATAGAAAATCTAAACAGAAACGGTTGAAAAGTAAAAGGAGGGGAAGGGAATGAATAGATTTAGCTTTCTAACCTCTGCACACTGCTCTTCAATCTCGTGTCTCAGTTTGAGAGCATACTCACTACTCACATCCATGTCATTTAGAGCCGTTGCAATCTCAGAACCAGTCTTCTGAACAGCAGAACCACCTAAGAAAAGCTTAGCTCCAAGATTAGGTTCTCTCATTTTCTGCTGCAAGGCCTCGTTGTACTCACTGCCCAACAAGCTCACTGCATTGCTTAAAACTGCAATTACAGAGTTAATGTTGGAGGTGGAAATAGACCTCCTGCAACAACTCTGAAGAACATAGAAGACATCATCCACCATAGACGTAGTAAGACTATCAAACACGTGCTCATCAATGCTGATGGCTTTCCTCACATTTTCAACCATGAAAAACCCCTCCAATATCACATAATAGCCCATGATATCTTGAACAACCCTACTCAAATTCCCACTCCTAAAAGCCTTAGTGGCGCGGGGAACCAATTCAGGATCGACAGAGCTCAATGCCCTAATCTTCGAGACCATGTACTCAGTGTAATCCTCTGCCAACTGTGTCAAGGACAAAATTTCTTCCAGATACAGTTCAACCTCTCTAGGATCAGGTCCTTCGGCCACTGCCGAGAGCAAATTGCTCTTGTAAGAATTAATATCAGAAGTCAATTTGGCTAACTTTCTGTAATCCATATACTTATTCATAATCAAAGAGCCCCGAGAATCGCACTCTTCTTGAAGCTCACATATGGCGTAAACAATCCCATCTTCTCCGCACAAGTTCCTTAAAATCTCATTGTTCTCTTCAATAGCCAACACAATGTCTTTAAACAAATTCGTCAAGCAAGCTATGAAATTTACCCGACCAGAATTGGAATCGGATTGGGATTGCTCCTTCATCAGCTCAACCAATTGGTCAAACTCCATCCTAGATCTCATAGAAATCACCTTCTTCAGGTAATTGACATAAGCCTGCAACCCTTCTTCCTCCAGTCCCAGAGGCGGGTAGAGCTTGATGAATCTGAGAATGGTTGGATGGTCCCGCTGATCGACAGCCGCGGATAAACGTTTCCGGACTATCCCTTGAAGCTGCTTATTGGCGGCGAGTAACTGACTACGCTGATCGGACGCAGCGGAGTCCTTGAACTTGGCATCAATCTGAAGGAACGTCTGGACGTAATTAGCTGCAGACTCAAAATCGTCCGACTGAAGGGCCTTGTGGACGCCATCAAGGCAGTGAGAGCGGTGTACAATGGCGTCAATGCGGAGGAGCGTGTCAGAAACGCGGGATTGGGCGAGATCGAGCTGACGGACTTTGGCGCTGACGTGATCAGCGAGGTGGGAGGTGGAGCGGACATTGGAGAGCAGGTGGTCGGAATCGGCCTTGACGATGTGGAGGACGTCGGCGGACTTGTTGAGAGCAGAGAGCTGACGGTCGAGGTCGGGACGCTGGGAGAGGAGGGAGTCCAATTCCAGATCAAGGGCTCGCTGGTAGGCGATGCATTCGTGGAGGAGACGGGTCATGGCTCCCACGTCAGTGAGCTTCCGCACATGCTCCAGAGCCTCCGCCGTCCCGAATTTCACCGACGACGACGATGATACTGTATTGCTACTACTGATGCTCGCGCCGCCGCCGTCTCCGTCGCTGGAAGCCATTTCGGACTCAGTTTATTTTCTGTGACAGAATCTGTAGCCTGATTCAGTCACCAATGAATTGAAGCCGATGAATGAAAGGGTCAAATTTTAATTGCCAGAATAGCAGAATTTGTTAAATGGACCTAATATATCTTATTAGTAATTTTTTTTACCTTTAGTTAAAAGCAACATGTTCTTGAGAATTAAAAAAAAAATTATAATCTTAGATTTGAATGGTTGAATGAGTAAAAATTAAAAGGCGTTTGGAAACTGAGATTAGTTGACTGTATATTTATGTGAATGCACAACCAAAAGCTTTTAATGAATCAAAATTACTTGCAAACATGGATAGGGTTCAGCTCATGAGATTGATTTTCAGTATTTAACACTCTTATTTGTTTCGTATTCAAACAATCAAACGTTATTCACAAATGCTAATAGAAAAAAGTGAAAAAAAGTATTCTCATTAGCGGTGAAACAAAAAATATTAAAATATGTAAAGTTTCACTTGAGGAAATTTTAACATTTAGCTTGTAGACTTGAACTATTAAAAGTTTCTTATATTAATTTTATGCAATATTGTATGTTTGGCGAATGAATTTCAAATTCGAATGCTTCAATAAACTTAATAAATCAAATTCGAACAACTATTTTTATTCTCTCTTTTTTTTTTGACAAAACAAATATTTGCATTCTTATAATTTTGAAACAAACGCAAACCTATTTGTAGTGTTATGTCAATAAAATTTTGTATTCACCCTATTTTTAGTACCGCAAATAAAAATCATACAACAATTCATATTTTAAAATAAAATATTCCAATGGTTAATAAACCCTAAAACTCGAAAGTGTATTATTAGACATATGTATTCCCGATCACTCTCCTTGACTCGAGTTAATAGATTTTTTTTTCTATTAGTAATTTTACGTTGTGCGAAAATTGAAGAAGGCAGGACGGAAAAGAAGCCCAACTTTTGGAGGATGGAACCCTAGTTTTCTCCCGATCTAATTTAACTTCTAATCTTTCAAAAATCAAACCTTTTCTGGTGGGGAAGTTGAAGAGGATTTTAGACAAGTTGAACCGGATTTTCGTAGGAGATTAATCCAAGGAAGAGAAACACAGTGCAAAATTTTGAAATACAATATGAATATTACCAAACTTTTGGAGACAAGATAGCCAGAACTTCATATCGGAGATTGAGATTCAGGAGTACTCTTTTCAGGTAAGTCTTGCAAGATATGTAATTTATTTACAAGTCCAGTATTTCTAATGTCTTAGCCCCTTGGGTTTTCGAATAACAAGCTTATGTTGTCTTTTTAAATTTAATTAAAAGGCCCAGCAGATTTGGTAATGTTGCATCTCATTTGGTAATAACAGATAATCTTTTTCTGTGTTTGTTTTTTTAACTCTCGGAAACTCTTATGTTATCTCCAATAACAAGCATAAATAGTGGGTAGAATTTATTTTTTTTCCCAGCTTATGATTGGGAAAATGAAAAAGTTGATTATCTGGTTGAATGGAGGTGGAATGCGTACACAGAAAACATTTTCGCCAGGAATCAATGATATAAGACCTTGAAGCTTTTTGGCCTAGTTTTTCACTCTCACATTCATGTCCTCCATAGTTAGGCTCTATTTTGGTTTGATGACTTGTGGGGTGTTAAATTCCCCCGGACCATTGCACTGAACTAATTTTATTTGGTTTATATATATTGTCTCATTATTGCTTTAAAAAAATTGATAGAAGACCTTGAAGACTTTTACTTGAGTGGAGTGTATATGAGTGTATAATATATAAGTATATATATTATAACATTAAAAATTTAATGATTTTATATAAAAAGTTATAATAATTTATAAATATTAATATATTTTATATAATTATGTAGTTAATTATGAATTTGGGTGGAGTTCAATATGGGGGTGGGCAAAATTATCCGCTAACCCAAAATTCCGCTATTTCCGTTTCGATCTGATCCAAAAATTAGGATACCTGATTTGTATTATTTGATCGGGTCAAAAGAATGTCGGGTACCTACTAAGATACGGGATGAGTTAGGGCACCCCAAAAGTTTTTTCAATTTTTGCAATTTAGTCCCTAGAGAATTTTGACTCTCTTTATTATGATTATTTCTTTTCTTAAATAGCTAATTTATGTTACTTTTGAATATATTTAACTTGTGATTTTTTAGGTGTTTTTAAATTTCTTTATGTTTGACATATTAGTGTGAGTTTAGTACTTTTATTAGTATTATTTTTCAATTAAATTGGTGCCATGATTCTTTTGTTCATTTTGAGTATAAATAGGGCAATTTGACTCCGTTTAGTCACCGCTTCAAAAGGGAGGTACCCCTATTATTATTATTTCAATGTCAATTACGTGCTCTTATGTGCTCTTACATGTTCCTATGCGTTTATATATTTTTACATGCTTCATTTATTTGATTTAAATGTTCATCCAAAATTTCTTATATTTGCTTAATTAATTTTAATAATTATTTGAGAGGCATTTAAATACCTCAAAAATATAATATATAGGATAATTAGATTTGTTTTATTATATTTTTCCCTTTTAGATTGTAATTAGGTCCCTTGTTGTAATAGATAGGGTAGATAGGATTTTCGTCATTTCCCCATTTTAGACTGTAGTTAGGCTCCCCGCTATAATAGGTAGGTTGCATGTTTATGTGTTATATGTTTTATCCGCTTTCCTTAAGATTTTTGCATCTAGATATTATACTTACGTGTTACGTGCTATGTGCTTTTATGTGTTTATTTGTTTTAATTTATGCCTTATTTATTTTACTATGTATTATTAATGCATGACGTCACCACGCTAGTCAAACCCTAGTTATGGCTTCTTCTTCCGCTTATTTGACAGTCAAATGCTAGTAAGGATTTTTTAGAAATTAGTTAGTCCAACACTAGACCCTTAGATAGTTCATGCGTTAGATTCATTTTGGTGTGATATTTATTACATTTTCATGCATATTTTTATTTTAGAATCTTTTCTCATGTGCATGATATTGCCTATTATATTATTCTCTACCCCCTACCCTGCATATGTGTTAATCATGTCATTTAGAATTGCATCTCATTTAAGCTAGTTCATTTGCTTGTCTATGTTAGGAGAATTATTCTTCAAATATGGGAAATGGGTGATTATAATTTTTTAGTTTAAATACCCCATTAATCCCTGTATAAGAAAATTATGTCACAAGTTTTTGCCTCCCGTACCCATTATGTTGCATCTCTTTTCTTTTGATCACTTATACCTATGTATATAATTTAATTTTCTTTTTTTTTTCTTTTAATTTTATCATTTGCATACTCGTGACATCTTCAAGGAATTATTTTGGCCTTCGCAATTAATGCGATTGGTATCAATTAAACCCTTGAATGAACATTTTGTCCCTCTCGACGTTTTTATTTGCATCCATGTAGGAAACATTCAAATGTGATAAATTTAAAGGTTAGATTAGAGAAATTTAACTAAATCACGCAACTAGTTTAGACTAGGTTGAAAGGGTGCCTTAAGTTTGAATCAATTGAACCTTTGTCTTCCTTTTCTTCAACCGTGACTCCCGAACTCATTTTCTCTTGTTTTTTTTCAAAGATCTGGAGTTGTCGAAAAGGGTTTTATTTTATTTTTATTAAAAAAATATTTTTGGGTGACTTGGTGCACCCAAATTCAATATCAAGTGGCGACTCCTCTTTTTCTTAAAAATCCTTTTAGACTAAATTTTGGACTCAAATTGTCGTATTTTTTAAAGTCCCATTTTAGGTCTTTTTCACTTATTTTAAATAAAAAACACATCTTTTGTAACACCTTTAATTTACATCGCGAAAAATGGGCGCGACACGTATGATCGAGTACCAACTGATATGCAAGGCGAATAAGGATAAAAAAATGACTGATCTATAAGGTACTAGTTGGGTCAGCAAAATGATGAACGAGGCAGGTACTCGACTCACACCCACCCTTAGTTGTAACCTACACTCAAATCCAAAAGCATAAGAGCTTCATTTTTTTGAACCGGTTTGGACTTGCTTGAATCGTAAAGCCTAATTGACACCTTGTAAACGGCTAGAAGCACCAACAGCCCAGAGGCTGTGTAACCATTGACCTCCACCTTGCCGCTTAATTGTGACTGCCTGTAATGGGATTTTCGTCAATTAGGTTCCCCCTCTCCTTATATTAGATTAAAATAGGTTATACTAATGCTATCATTACAACACAAAAAAAAAAAGGATAGAAGTCAACGCAACATTGACATGGGCCTTCTAAACATCACGGGATACCTATTTGTCCCCCTGCGCCGCAGAGCTGCAGAACTCTTTTTCTTTTTTCTTTTTTAATATTTTATACATTCCGGAATATTGGAAGGGTAAATAGACTCTTTTGACTATTCGAGCAATTGATTGTCTTGTTCACAGTGCTGATTCAAAAAGGAGTAATTCGTGTGACAACAGAAGGATCGGGAATTGCTCTCTTTTTCTTCTTTGCAGCTCCCAGCTGCCCAGGAGTTGAAATTTTGTTGTACGCATTTGAGTTTGAATTGAAGGTTGAACTGCATTTTGGTTTGTTTGGCTTCTACAATGCATTAGGAATAGTACCTATTGGCTTCTTATACTGTATGTTAGTGACCTAGTCTAAGTGCAATAGTGTAAGGGAGTCTGGTGCCACAATGCCCTTTACCTGTTTGGTGAAATGCTTATGAGATGAAATGCTTAAAAAGATTCCATTTAAAGTTTGAAAATTAAGGCGTGAGTGGAAGACTTGTTGAATCAGCCCATATTTGTAACTTCATTTAGGAATTGTTGATGTGAAAATTTGATTTTCTATAGGAATCTGAGGTTTCAGGTTTTGGATATAGTTAGAAAAGAAGCATCTGCTTCCTCCGTGTCCTGGATGGATAATTATGAAACTTCGGCGTCCTCTTTTTTTCTTTCTTTTTTGCAATTTCTTAGTGGTTTACTGGACTTTGAATCTTTTAAGCTGCAATCTTGTGTTTGGCTGCTTTCTTATGAGCCAATTCATCTCTCAATCTTTGGCATCTCATTCTTGAAGCTATCATTTCTTTTTGTCATGAATGACCTAGAAAAGGAAATGATAATCCTA